AAGAACTGACACACACTTTCTGTCTCGTCTGAGCTCAGAGGTCTGGGGCTCTTTTTCTGGACCTGCTGCTGTTTCTTTTTCGTCTCAGGCTGTTCAGGCCGACGTGGAGGGGGAGCAGGCTCCCTCCTCTGGGGTCCCTGCTGGGATCCCTGCTGGGATCCCTGGTTGTATGGGTTACCATGGGTGCCATACTTTTTACTCTTAGGACGTGCGCCCCCCTTCTGGTACATTCGTTCATCCTCTGGTTTCTTGGGAAACCATTTAGGATCTCGTCTGAACCAGGGGGCACTCATCTGTTGTGGTTTGGCAGATGGGAAATCTTGTTTCCTCTCGCCATTCTTGGGAGGGGGAGCTGAAGCTCTCGTCCCTTCCAATTCTAATGACTGGGAAGGAATCCTTTAACCTGGGAACACCTCAATGGGTGTTTTGGCCTGTGAACGGGCCTCAAAGACATTCACAGCACAATTTTTTATCTCACAGATGGTTTTTTCTTTGAAATTAGCCATCATCTGTACTGACGTCTTTATGTCAGGGTGGAGATTTTTGCTGAAAACGAACTTTAACGCCTCCTCTTCCTCCATGCCGGTTTTGTTCCTGTAACCAAAATAAGCCTGTAAAATCCTGGAATAATATGCCCTTGGGTGTTCATTCTTACCTTGCATGACCTTGTCGGCGGCTGGATAACCGCCAGGTCCCGCGCAAGGGGCATACTCTTTAATTAGAGCAGCATATAACAGGCTGTAATCCTTCCTTGTGGCATCTGGTGACGCTCAATAAAGGAAAACACCGTCCTGGCTGAAGTGAACCTGATCAAACCTATTTTATCCTCAACTGTAGCGTTCGGATAGCTTCCCAGTTGGAAGTCAAGGTCTTGCAGATAGGCCTTAGTGTCGGTCGAACCCAACGGCCCTGGCTCGAAGCGTTTGACATATTTTGCTATTTTTTGCAATACCGCTATTGAGAGCGGAGGATGAGGGATTAGTGGAGGCGGAACAAAAGAATCATGTGGAGGTGGCATAAGGAGAGTTTGTGGAGGTGGTGATGGTTGAACTGGATTCTGACCCAGTTTGTCTTCGAGTTCCAGACATCTTTTCCCCTTGTCAGAGATTTTATTTGTGGCTACAGCCAGTTCTGCCTCATAGGCTTTTAACCGTTCACGTGATGCTAGACACTCACTTTGTAAACTCACGCCTTGTTGGACTAATGCCGCTCTTTCCAATTTGCACTCATCCAGAGATTTTGATGTTAGCTACAACTGTTGGCGCAGAATATCATTGTCTGAACACAGCGTTCGATACTCTACCCCTCCTGCACGTAACTTTTCCTCATATGAGTCTGCTTGCAACGACAGCTGAGCTTGTGAGTACTCTTTCTCACATTGCAATTTTTCCTCCCAGGTCTCCTTTTCAAATTGAAACTGTGCCTTGAGTTGTAGATACTCATCAGGTGTTGCTTCGCGGTCACCTGTCTCGCGCATCAAATTTTTTTTCAAAGGCTTCTCTCCTGCTGGCCTCAAGGTAATACTCAGCTTTTAGCAAGAGTGCTATTTTAGCTAATTGCTCGTAGCCCGACTTCTTTATGGCTATAGAAGTGACATTGCCTGCCACCTTCTTAAGCTCGGCGAGTAGTCCTGTTGTGTTCATGCATTCCACCTGTTCACCATATGGAGATAAGAAATCTGTGAGCAGCGTCAAAGCTCTCTCAAGCCAGTTCTTCTTAACACCACTTGGAGTAGGATCAGCATGATCAGCTTTTGTTGAATCTGCCATGATCGTATTTACTATTCAGCAAAACCTATCAGGTTAAACCGTCGCAATCTTAGAGTTTTTCAACAGGTAAATGTTTGTATTTAAGTGAGCAGCGAGTTTCACACACTAATCAGCTCTGCGGTTCCATCAAAGTACTGTTATAAGCCAGCTTTTCAATAATTGGGCACCTGTTTTAAGTTTTACCCCATTCATGAATATTATAAGTAAATGCCTCCTGTGGCAGTGTTACTTAATATGAGCTTAATCCTAACAGGTACAATGAACCAGGCTATTTCAGTGTTGATTTACTCAAATGCACTTAAAAATTAATAAACCTGCAATATTCACTAAAATTCTGACAGTTTAATTTACCAAAATTTGCTATCAAACAGTTAATTATAAACCAAGCGTGATTAACGTTTTTATTTACCCACATGCTTTTAAAAGAAATGACTCAAAAGCAAGGTTTCACTAAAAGTCTCACAGTAATTTGCAGCTTTCAGTTCTGAAAAACTGTTATACTGTGTTGTCAACAGCAGGTGGTGGTGCAAGCTTATTTTTACCACAGAGTGACTGTAGCTACATGTCTTAGATGGTAGGAGTCACTGATGACTCCCTGTGAACCGTCCTATTGACAACCGGTCGTTAGCCGTTAGCTTCGATTAGCAACGCACGAACACGGTCCAAATCAGCATTTATAGACAGATTTAAAGCTTGAACGTGGCGTCGCTTCAAAAACACGCTCTTTAGGCATAAACTCATCAGGTTAGGACCGATTTGAGGGCTTTTATTCAGCTTTTTTAACCACTAAAGAAGACTCCGTTTGAAAACGAGCTTCATTTCCAGGGTCACGTGACTTTACAGATACATGGACATCGGGGTGGGCTTTTTGCACTGACGCCAGAGTGAGTGGACGTAGACGGCGTTACGTCACCGGCTTCTCAGCAAATCAGAACGTTTCACACAGCGGTCCTCGACCAATCACAGCTCATGTGTACTTGTGTAAGCTAGCTCTTTTAGCTTCAACAGTCCGGCGATAATTTTACCCATTAACGCTTTAAAAAGCACAAAATAATCCTGGAAATGTAGCGAATCAGCATAGAAGCAGCTTCTGGGGCGGTGCCCAGCTCAAAAACACAGTGTTTCACCATTTAAAACACGAACCCGTTCAGAACCGGGTCAGAACCGGGTGGGTTCAGAACCACCACAGCTAGACAAGAGTTCCAACAGATAAATGTGTCTTTTCTCCCTGCTTACTGCTTAAATCACACACACAGAATTTATAGCGGAATAAGAAAATCACCCAGTGAGACTCCAACATCAAAAGCAGCTTCCAACAGCGTTTTAAACATTGTAAAGATTTAAATCTCAGGTGTAAAATTCAACAATACAGTTCTGCATCTTCTGAACACTACAGCCATGAAAAATAATCTTTCCAAGGTCAAAACTTGGACTTTTTATGCCAACATGCGTTTTCCACAATATCAGGTCACACAGAATTTATATAACTCATACAAGAAGCCGTACAGGCCACCAATATGTAGTATGTCAGGACAGCTGTTGCTGCGGACATCCTATTAATTATTATTCTTAAGGCTAGATCAAGTGCAAAGAATATTAACTGTTTAATTAACAACGGATTCTTTCTTTTTTTTAGTTAAATTTCTGCCATGTGACCAAGATAACTTGAGAGTGGAGTGTATAATTACTGACATGAGACATCAATTATCTTTGACCCATGAGAATAAATGCAGTCATTTATTTAACAGTATCAAAATTTTACATCAAACATGTACACTTGATTTGCTGATCTATTTCTGATTAATAAACTTAGCAAGTTCAAATAACAAGACAACAAAGGATTACTGATGGAGAATAATTCCTCTCTGAAGGCATTTAGCTTGATTTACTGGCGAAAAGGTTTAAAGAGAGGGAGTAAAGAAGTTTAGGAAGAAAGTTGTGGGGGTTGGTTGAAATATGTTGACCAGAAATGACACCCTTCATCCGACCCCAGCCCAGCCCTGGTACACTCGGTGTGTGACGACTCGTGACGACTCGTTACCTGAGCAGAAGATAAATCAGCTCCGGAACAGAGGTCCATTTCCACGCTACCTTTCAGCGTCTCCGGTCAGAGTGGCTGAGAATCGTCCGAAGTAGTGTCCAGATACTCCGTTCAACAGAATAAGCTTCCTTAGAAGGAATCTTCCTTAGAAGTTGAGAGCATTTAATGCTCGGGGTGAGATCACAGCGAGGCGTGCTGTGACTCCGCTGAAATGGACGGACCTTTGGCTCATGGTCCAAAATCCATCAGCTATTAGACTAGAGACTGTTAGACCTTAGCCTCATGTTAGTCTGAAAATTCCATTAAGACTGAAAGTTCCAGTAAGACTGAAAGTTCCAGGAAGTGTTGACTGTTAAAGGGTATCCACTTCCTGTTACTTGGTACTTCCTGATTGGTTAACACAACCAGCAGGGGTGGAGCTTTAGTGATGTCAGAGGGTTATTAGAAGTCACAGACAGCAGAAATATTTTAAGAACGGTTAGTAACAGACAGGAAAATATTTTGAAGCAGTGAGAGACTTGCAGGTGCCAGTTCTTATTTACCGTCTGAGAGTTTTAAAACAAAGCACTGACTTCCGGCTGAATGGCGGTGAGATAAGGTGTGTTTGGGTGTGCTCCTACAGAATTAGCCTTTTCTCTGATTAATGCCTGGGCACTTTTTCCCGAGTCCGACAGCAAACAATAGCTAACTTACACACTTTACATAACCCTCCTATTTGGCCATTAAAATGCCACCAAAACCGACTAAAGGGGTAAGTTCGATCCACGCTCACCTGCGGCCTAATCCTCGTAGTGAAGCCTCGAGCTGTCCTGGATCACCTCCTCCGTCTGAGGGCGACGTCAGCAGCCTTAAGCAAGAAATACTTGTAGCTCTCCGAGAGGACCTTGCTGCTATAATTAAAGCAGAATTCCATGCTGTTCTGGGTGAAAGTCTCTCGTCGATTAATGCCGAGCTGTCCGCCTTCAAAAAGGAGCTATCGTCTGGGCTAGCAGCGGTGCAGGAGAGCTTCACGGGGCTAAAGCTAATGGTAACAGAGGTGGAGAAGTCCGTCTCCACCTGCACTGACGACATCGTGAGCCTCCAGAAAACAGTTGACGTCCTTACTAAGACGGTGGCACAGTTGGAGGATAAGTGCGATGACCTGGAGTCTCGGTCTCGACGTCAGAACATCCGCATCATTGGTGTTCCAGAGGATGACCCATCAGCGGCGACAACGGCTGCGGTATCTCGGATGCTAAAGGAGGCCTTCGACCTCGAGGAGGAGCCGCTGCTGGACCGCGCTCATCGCATCCCAGCCCCCAAACCGAAAGCAGGCGAGCGGGCCCGTCCGATTGTAGCTAAGTTTCACTACCAAGCGGATTGTGTGAAAATCCTGGCGAAGGCGAGGGAGTTGCAGCGGGTCAAAGTGAACGGTACGAATATCTTCGTTTTCCCTGACTACACTGCCAAAACGGCCCGAGCGCGGGCGGCCTTCACGGAATGTCGTCGCAAGCTGCGGGACATCGAGGGGGTTCGGTTCGGCCTGCTCCACCCGGCCCGGCTGAAGATCACGTTTGAGGGTAACACGCGGGTGTTTACCTCTGCTGAGGAGGCGAAGATTTACATTGAGTCGATTACAAAATGAGCATTACAATTAATATGATCGATCTCACACTCAGGAACGTCAGTATTATTAGTCATTATTATTATTCAGGTTTGAAAATGTAATCAAAGTGTTCTGTCTACACTCACGGACTTATTTGTTTACATTCAGGGGTTTAATGTTCTGAATTATAATTAGTATGTTTTGTTTACAATTAAGGATTTAATGTTTAGAATTATAATTAGTGTGTTTTGTTTACAATTAGGGATTTAATGTTTAGAATTATAATTAGTGTGTTTTGTTTACAATTAGGGAATTAATGTTTAGAATTATAATTAGTGTGTTTTTCTTACAATTAGGGATTTAACGTTTAGAATTATAATTTGTGTGTTTTTGTTTACAATTAAGGATTTAATGTTTTGAATTATAATTAGTGTAAGAGTTCTTGTTCTCCCAGATTAGTGCCTATTATATATTTTAAATCTTTTTATTTTGCTAGTTCGGTGGGAGTCACCTGACACAAGAAGGTGTTTTAGGGTTTTTGCGGTGTGGTGCCATTTGGCTGTAAGGCTAAGTTTTTTGATGACTCCCGTTGGAGTCTGCACAGCCCCTTCGTTTGGGGAAGGGCTAAGTGCGATTATG